TTCCCAGGACCCAGGAAAGTGCCAGAGGAAAGACAGGTGCTTCATACATGTTTGTTGAATGAGTGAATGTTGAAGAGTTATGCAAATTTATGCAAATGAAAGGGTAAACAAAACACAGCAATTACTTTTATTGTTTTCCTCCTATTTTGTACATGCATCGATACTAACTGTGAAGACTTAATGTGGAACCTGCTATATGCTTGGCAGAAAGGAGGCAGGTAAAAGACCATTGCAGGACATATATGTCCTGTTCAAAATGTCCATGGAGACATCTGGTCCACACCAAATGGTCCTTAATATTTGATTCTGTCAAATGTCCACACAGAGAAAAATGCCACTGGGTTCAAATATAAGATTTATTTATACTTTTGGTCTACGGGATTAATCCATAAAAATACTATCATGTTTTATTGGTCCAATAACTGTGTTGTGGTTGTATTGTCAATAATAACTCTTCTGGCCTTGGTAACCTAGCTGGTAACAGCACACGGGTTAGGTAGAGGGGTAGGGGTTTGAACATTTGCAGAAGAGTGAGATTTTTATTAACTATGCAAATCAAATGTCTCTATGGATGTTTTAGAGGGGACCAAATGTCCACTAATCATAAGAGAGAGAGCAGAATATTTGAGAAATATTCACTGTTCTTAAACATATGGGTTCTGGCACTGTATAGGAGTTGGCTGGGACAGCCCCAATCCCTCCCTGTGCCTCAGGCTGATATAACTCTGTGAGTTTACTCATTTTCTTCAGACCATTGTAGATTTTGATCCAAGATATGGCACGCCATCCAGGACAGCAGGACAGAAAGATCACGTAGCTCAGTTAAAGAACAGCTTGAGTGCCCTGATCCAACTGTAGTGGAATCTTGACTTTGATGAGATGATTCAAATCTGAGGACTGACTGGGCTGCTTTTGTTAACGAGAGTTATTGGAAAGCCAAGTTACGTCTCAGTTTATTAACAAGCACTCAACTTAATAAACCTAGGGTTTAATTTCAATAATATGGAGAAAAAAATAGGTAGAAAACCATTGACTGATTTTCTTCTGCCTGGAAACTAGAAAAACTCCTCTCAAGATTTGCAGATTTATCCTTTCTGTAGGATCTGGGCAGGCCTCAACAATGGCTTACGGCTTTTACATTTTTGTCTGCTTATCGTTCACAAGGAGAAGAACAAGTATGTTAAACCACATGATAAAGGTAACTGAACACGGCTATTTTAAAAGCATGGCCTCTGCAAAGTGAGGCTGCCATAGGAATTGCTTATGGATGTTTAAACCCAGGGTAATGACTCTGAGAAAACCTTGCCTTACATGTGCTTTTGTGTTTCCTGCATTGCTTAGTCACTCTCACTCCCCCTGCCCCTTAGCCTTTGTTGTCTTTTTTCCCCCCCTTCACTTGTGATCTTTAGGTTCCTGGGACTCTGTTTTCCCTGGCAAAAGTGCTTCCCTGTAGTGTAGTGAAGTTTCCCCTTCCCGGTAATCATTAAGGGGAAGGTTTTATTTTATTGTTTCTTTGTCATATTATAGAATCCCTGATAAGCCAGACTTTCATTTTCTTTTTATTTCTTACTACTCTTTGAGGAAAAACAGTCTCAATTTGTGTTGGTGTTGGAAGAATTTTTTCACATAAAGTGAAGTGCCTTGCCATCCATATGACACTGACTGGCATTTCCAAAGACAACTAGGATTGTAATGGAAATTTCCTAATACTTTACTGGGGAGCTAATCTCTGTTCAGGATTTTTGTTGGTGTTTATGTATTTTTTGCTTTTAAGTGGCTCTAGGGTTTCTTAATAAAAGTGAAAAAGGCTTGCCATATTAAAAAATGAAAATACCGAACTGCTTTCTCTTTGATTTCTGCTTCCTGCACATCTTCACCACTGATGTTCAGTGTGTGGGATTGTCTGGTTTGAGTTCCCTGGCCCAATGGCACTCAACAAGGATGATGAGTCCTAAGTATTTACGAAGAACTCCAGTAACTGATGGAGCTGAAGTGAAAGATATTCTTAAGTTTACTTTTCTGGCAACCTAAGCTTTAAGAATGGATGGCCACACGGGTAAGTCTTCTTGCTGCTGCCACACTGGGTAGCAGCCACTAAGATGAAGAGAAAATACACTCTCTATATCCCACTTTCTGCATTGCAGCATTTACCCAGATCATGAAGGCTGTTAAGGGGATAAACAATATTATTCCAACTAGGCTTACATGGGAATGAAGGGCAGCCTAACCATCATTGACAATTTATTTTTCTTGTATAAGATCCTGTATTGTGTGTTTCAGTCAGCTGACCTTATAGATTGGGGACTGCCAACCCTCTTCAACAATTCTAGTTTCTTTTAGATGCTGAGTGACTTGGATATCACCAAGAAGCAGTGTATTCCCAGTTCATTGTATTTTAGGAGATTATGAGGGAGGCTCAAGAATAAGATTACAGAATACAACTATAATTATCCTCTTACTTTCAGCTAATTAAAGATAACTGTTAAATGAGAAGATTTTTTAAAAGCCCCCAAAATATAAGGACACAAAGAAATCAGAAATGGCATATGAAGTTCTCTGAGTGTAACCCAAGACAAAGACCCCCTAGGAGGGATGCTGGTGGCACACAAAGGGTATGACAATTCTCCTTAAACTCCACTCACAACCCTCCACACCTGCCAAGAATCTTTTAAATTTTTTCCTTACCTATTTCAAAACATGCTGTTCAAATGTTTGAGAAACATTATGTTTCCTTTTAGAGAGAAAATATGTTTTTTGGACTATAATTTAACTAGAGGCCCGGTGCACGAATTCGTGCATGGGTGGGGTCTGCTGGCCTGCCCTGGTAGGGGCCGATAGGGACAGGCTGGCAGGGGGAGGGGCTACGGTGGTTGGCTGGCCGGCTCTGCCCCCTGGTTGAACTCCCGGTTGAGGGGACAATTTGCATATTAGCCTTCTATTATATAGGATTTTGTGTTTCCAGTGGGATAATGTTACTAGTGATTTTTAAAAAGCATGTTCTGGATTTCACACTTTGGGCATAAGTGATATCAGCTCTCCATACTCTTCCTGGAGAGAGCTGGCCACAACCCTATGTGAGGGTTCAATGCACACCTCTGGCTTAACATCTTTTGAGATAAAATTTAGAAAATAAACATTCCTAGTATGTAAAATGCAATTTCAGACTCAATGGATGAAACCAGGCCATTTTTATCCTCTCACCAGATTATTAGCTGACATATGAACTTTTGCATCCATGCCCTATACATATTATTGAGTGAATATAACTGTGGAGAATAAAGGAGACATATTTAATAATAATAATAAAAAAGAGTTTAAGTATTTAAGGTGAGTTAAGAGTACTGCATGTGCATGTGTGCACACACACACATTTCATAACTTTTCACTCAAAATTTAAAAGCAAAGGATGATCTTAGTTGAGACAAAATTAGTGACTTGGAAGATCAAACTGAACAAATATTTTAAAGCACAGAAGAAAAATAGAGAGACACCAATCATAAGAGAAAATGAGGAGGGGGAAAAAAAGAGTAGATGGAAAAGTAGTAATTGAATAAATAATAAAAATTTTCCTGACAAATATCTTAGTCTGCCAACAGAGAAGACTCCCTAGTTTGGACAGTTCAAATGATAAAAGACATACAAAGTATATCACAGTAAAGTTCTGAACTCTAAGGATGCTCAGAAAGTCTTACAAGCTTCCCCAAAGAAATCAGAAAACCAACCAACCAACAACAACATAAATCTTTCAAGTGAAAAAAAAAAAGAGATTGACATTTGACATTAGATTTTCAATCTATAATGTTGGAATCTATGATATAGAAGAATGAAATCCTTTGATGATTAAAAGAAAATCTATAATAATAAAAGCATAATATGCTAATTAGACCAGATGTCCTTCTGGACGTACTTCCTTCCGGACAAAGCCGCAGCAGGTGGGGGGCCGAGGCAGAGGTGGCTGCCGCAGTGGTAGGGACCAAGGCCCTTGCATGAATTTTGTGCATCAGGCCTCTAGTAAATAAATAAAAATCCTTGAACAAGAACAGACATGTTGCAAAAGAAATGATGATCATAATAATTGAGAACATAATCACTAAACTACAGCAGAAAACAGAGGAATTGGCAGGGGGATGATAAGGGGGAGAAGTTCAAGTTTGAGTAGGGGATGGTGGGAAAGAAGGAGAGGAGAAAAGCAAAGGTACTCTGATAATATAACCCTTATGGGGTAGGAGGGAAATGGGGGGAGAAATAGAGAATGTTGGAAAATGAAAGAGTTGGTATTTTATTTTTACATGATGATAGTGAAATATGTATTTGATTATAAACAAAAAGGGCATCAAGGATTTAAAGAAATGAAAAATAAACTAAGACTTATGAGGAGAAATACTTGCAAGTAAATTAGATGCCTTTGCAAACTCTCATTTTTCATCTCATTTAATCATTGATCTTTCATGTTCTAACAGTGGAATATGAGAAAAAAAAATTCCGTATCACTTTTCAAATGACAAAGAAATAGGTAAATAAGAGCATGAGTAAGACAATGTGTCTAAGAAAATTCCTGCCACTTACTAAGCACACAATAAGTGGTAATTATTTTGACTGATTTTAGAGAAACTTGCTCTGGTTATTCTCCCTGGGGTATAACAACTGAAATAAGCTTGGTTTCTTGCAAAAGGCAACAGACAGGCAACCATTAAACCTGGGCTGAACCGTAGAGACCTGAGCCCTTCCTGCTGCAGGTGAGAAAATGCAGGGGGGGGGGGGAGTGACCTATTCCAAGTCACACTTCTGCTACATGGCATGGCTCGAATGCTCACTTATAGAAATCCAAAATTTAAATTTATAAATTAAGCAATGTTAGGTGTAATGATTCCTTCTACAAATAAATGTTTCTCATTATTCTCCCGAGACATTAGATTTCAGAACCCCACACAGTTCTGTGGTTTTGTTCTCTAACATATGCGCTTAAGAAAAATGTGGTTATTACAGACAGTGGTGCTTACTTTTTGGTCAATGTATTTGTTGTCCTCAATTGCAGACCGTTTGGAGTGATCACATGATGAGGAAGAGGCTGACGGGAGGCTTCTTAAGAGGCAGCAAGTGTCCTGTTGCTGGCGATCAATGAACTGCTTCATAAAACTTTCCCTGTGCAAATGAAGTAGACATACATGAAGCATTATTGATTAGATGGAGCAAGTGGTGGCGTTTTGCTTAAGCTATAATAAAGCACTGACAAAGTTTGCAGACAACAAGATATGCCACAGATGAATTACCAAAGTAATGAATTTAGAGAGTGTTTTCTAAATCTTGGTCATTACTGCTTTACAAAGGTAATGTCCCTGAAATAACTTAAAAGATACTATGAGTTTAGTAATTCATAGTATCTTTTAATCCTATTGTGGTAGTAAGATACTTTTCCCCCTTCAAAGACTTGAAAGAATTAGTCCATGTCTCTGAACTTCCAATCATCTTAAGAATCTCTGAGAGATAATTTTGCATTTAAAGACTCAAAATAACTCAAAAAAAGTTACTTCATCTGATCTCTACAGCATGGTGAGAATTCAAATAACATCTTTTCAAATAACCACTAATCTTGTATCTAATTTACATGTCTTTTATACCTCATATTTTCAGCTTTTAAATTTTTTAAAAAACCAGAAATGCAAAATATATTTCTATTTGAATTTTAAATATTATTGTACCACCTCTAGTCTCATACTTTTATAATGGCCCCATAGAATTGTTTTTAAAACCAGTTACATAATAAGGTCGTATTTCATATTACCCTGGTTCTGTTTGTAATTTTTGACCTATAACTGAAAGAATTTCCTTTAATTTTTTAAAATAAGTGTTTTAAAGCATCTTCTATGCAACTGTGTAATTGGAGGGCAAAATGGTAGAAAATCAAATTGGTGTGAGTGGGTAATGCCATGGTTCTTCTATCAAAAAGAGGAAGACAAATTATATTGTAATCAGACATGGCACCCTAAACAATGCTGTTACAGTAGTAAGGAAACCTGCCAGTGCCATTTCTCTATGAATTTGAAAATAGAAGGGCCTCAGTTGAGGGTCAGAGGTGGATGTCTATCTGTCATCTCTGTGACCTCAATGACCTTCGCCAGTTACCTGGGAAGTCAAATCCCTGAGGAGCATCTCAGGGAGGAGCAGTGGGTAGCAGCCTTCTTGCTAAGGCTAATATACTTGTCAGATGACACTGCTCTGAGTATACTGCTTAAAGGGGTCAATGGTTTTTAAACACAGAGTGAGTAGAAAGACAGAGAATAACTTTAAAAAATCCACAACCACATGAGTTTGAAAGAAGGGCTGAATCAGATGTAAGATGAGTCATTTGCAGTATATTTGAGATAAACAAAGAAATACGTTCATACCTGATTTTAGGAACTGTAAAATCTGAAGGAAGCTTTGAGATTTTCACCATCTGCGGTCTGTTTGGAAATTTCTCAAAGATTCGAAGACGCAGAGGGAGTTTTTCTTTGGTATCTGCATTTGCTTCACTTTGCTTTAACTAAAGAAAAAATAGAAAGAAGGAGAAAAGGGAGGAAACTATAGTGCTGTAAGTCATAGATGATGAAATTTTCTGAATCAAAGAAACAAGAGTTGTTACATGAAGACGCAGTAGATGGCAGCAAAGAACTACCAAGTATACTTCTGTCCCTGCCCTCCATTGCTCTCTGAGCGCTCAAACTGAGCATGGGGAAACAAAAACAAAACTAAAATTAAACCAGAAATCTAAACCAGAAAAAAAAATTAGAAGAAAAAAAATTATGTGATTTTATTCCCAAATGTAGGCCCCTTTTCATACCAAACATTTTTTATTGTTGACTTATTTATCACTAACATAGCCAAACAATAACATGTGTTTTATAAATGTGTGTTAGAATTAGAATCCAAATGGATAAAATAATAAATGAAAATCCTAAGTAGTAATATTTGAAAAGAGGGAAAATGTGAAGAAAATTGGTCACTTATTGTAGCAGATTAAAAAGAAAAGCTCAAAATGGAAACAACACAGAAGAGTTTTCTATATAGTAAAAAAGATGGTTGGGAATTATTACATTATGTGCCATTAAGTATCTCTACAAGAAATGATAAGCAAATGGTATGTATGCATGTATGTATGTATGCATTTATTTTTCTATAAGATGGTTTAAATTTTTTTAAAATTTGATCATTGACAGTATCACAGATGATCCCCATTTTGCCCCTTTTCCTCACTCCACCCAAACCCTCCTCCCAAGCCTTCCCCACACTATTGTCTGTGTCTATGGGTTATGCACATATGAATATATATTCTTTGGTTAATCTCTTCCTGTCCCCTCTACCCCCCTCTACATTGAGATCTGTTATTTTGTTCCATGTAGCCATGCCTCTAGATCTATTTTGTTTGTCAGTTTATTTTGGTCATTGGATTCCACATATAAGTGAGATCACGTAATATTTGTCTTTCTCTAACTGGCTTATTTCGCTTAGCATAACAGTCTACAGGTACATCCGTGCTGTCGCAAAAGGATAAGATCTCTTTTTTGAAGTCCCTGGTGTAAATGTACCACAGCTTATTTATCCACTCATCTACTGATGGGTACTTGGGCTGTTTCCAGCTCTTAGCTATTGTAAATAATGCTGCTATGAACACTGGGGTGCATATATTCTTTCTGACTGGTTTTTATATTTCCACAAATCAGGATTCAGGGAAGCCAAGGCTTAACATCACAAACTGGAACCAACGCTGAGCGAAGGAGACATCGTAAGAATGGACTTGGCTGGCAGAATTCTGACTTGAAAAATGATGTAGCGGCTTCCACACGTGCTCATCCTCCCTTCTTTCCCCTCCCACGGCTGGCTTCTCTTGAGGCCCTTCCTTACTGCTCTTGACCATTCCCTTCCTCCCTGACCTTTGTACAGACGGAATTCACCTCTGCAGGTCCACCCGCTCTCCTGTCCTGACTCTGCAAACTGCATCTTTGAACGTGGATTCTGTATGAAGAGTCCATCTAATTCAGGCAGCTTTTTCAGTCAGGTTATGATGATTCCAAAGCCATCAGCTTCTCATCTCTTGTTGAGTATGCTTTTCCTCTATAATTACAATTTGTCTTGTGTTTGCGGAAAGATTACCATAAGAGTTCTTATAACAGGAAGACAGGTAGCACCTGCCTTGTACCCATATGGGGGATATCCCAACCGACCAGAGAAAACATGAGGCTGCATTTTTGGAGAACATCCCAATTTTAATACAATATATGGTTCAGCTCTCCAACTGGTTGTGAGCCATAGTGAGATTATTTGTTTCATTTCTAGATCAGAGAAATGTGCCCTTTTTCTCATTGTACTACAAAAACTAACATCTTTGTTTTATATAATAGAAACAATTCACTTTTGCCATTTCTATGTTTTATTTAATTCTGTGGCTTGTCTGGTTTCCTGTCATAGGTGGTAATCTCATTTAGGGAAGGGGCTGCTCCTGTTCATTGCCTTCCTCCCTCCCGAAATGGAGCACTGAGCACAGCACGTTCTCAATAATTTGATGGTTATGATAATGACAGTGTTAAAGGATTAGCTCCCAAAGGCACAAAACAAAATGACTAGCATGTCCATGAGATGTAGGCAATTAGAAAAAGGGTGGGTTCCACACATAAACAAAGATGTTTATGAAAAAGAGACTTCTTTTCTAAAAGCTCATTGACACAGCTAAGTAGAGTATACAGAAAAAGAAAAAGCAATTAGTAAGTTAAGTCAGACCAGAAAGAAAGACAATTATATGAGGCCAAAGAAAGAGACCTGAAAAAGCGGAGAAGATAGAGCAGAACTAAGGTATTTAGTTCATGCATTTGCCGACAGATTTATTTATACATTGATGCAGTCACTTATAAATCAAATCCTAGAGGCCAGGTCATTGTTAAGTTCTGGGGCTAGAAAAATAACTAAGACACAGCATTTGCCCTCACAGAATCCACATTATAACTAATAGATGGTTATAAAAACAGATTATGAAAATAAAATAGAAGAGCTACTCTAGCCAAGATATAAACAAAGTGCTGGGTACACAGGTGAGGAGCAAAGAGACAAATAAGAAAAAAAATGAAGATGCTACTTCTACTTTCAGAGACTTCTTGGGCAGCAGAATGGCTACACCTAACTGTTAGTCAACATAGGGGATCTATAGGTACCAACACTGGTATGCACATTTATGAGAATTAAATGTTCAAAAGACTCAAGAGCAAATGGTATATTAATCAGGACATATCATCAAAACAAAAACACGAGGCTCTTTTCTAAAAGCCTCTATGCGTGTCCATTCTCTCGATCCCTACCAATACTTTTCTGGTCAAAGATACCACCTGGGCTCCTGTACTAGCTTCCATGGTCTTCCAATCTGGTTTGGCTCCTTCGAATCTGTTCTCCACCCTGTGGCCCTAGTAGTATTCTCACCTTCTTGCTTAAACCCTTCAATGGTGTTCCATTGCTCTTAAAACTCTCAATATTTCCGAGTTAATACCCGATTTAGCTACTCCCTATTTGTCCAGCCTCATCTGGCTCTCTGCCTACATATCATCTTCTTCTAGTTCCTCAAAATTGTCTGGACCCTCTGCCTCAGAGGCTTTGCACATGCTGGTCCCTCTGTTGGGAGCTCTTCTCCTCCCCTTTCTTTTTTATTCTTCATCAACTTTTTCTACTTGTTCTTCTGATTTCAGTTCCATTACCAATTCTTCAGAGAAGCTTTCTGTGACCAACAAGGTCTTCCTCATAGCATATTGGGTTGGACTATATTGTTGTTTGTGTAGGTCAAAGCACTAAAAAATAGGCAATTTCTTATGGCTCAATCTAATACATATTGTATTAGCTTCCTAGGACTGCTATAACAAATTATCTCAAGATTGGTATCTTAAAATAACAGAAATTTATTCTTTCAGTGCTCTGGAGGCCAGAGTTCCTAAATCAAAGTCCCAGAAGGCCATGCTCTCTCAGAAGGCTCTTGGGAAGAATCCTTCCTTGACTTTTCCAAGCTTCTCATGTCCTTGGTGTTTCTTGCCTTGTGGCTGCATCCCTTCAATATATGCCTGTGTCCTCAAAATGCCGTCTTGCCCCTCTGTTTCTGTCTTTCTATCTGAATCTTTCTCTTTTCTCTTACCAAAACACCAGTCACTGAAATCAGGGTCCACCCTAAACCAGTGTGATTTTAACTGATTACATTAGCAAAAATCTGATTTCCAAATAAGGTCCCATTCTGAGGTTCTGGGAGGACATAAATCTTTTTTTTGGGGGGGGCACTATTAAATTCACTACATAGAGCAAAAATCTGATTTCCAAATAAGATCCCATTCTGAGGTTCTGGGAGGACATGAATTTTTTTGGGGGGGGGGCACTATTAAATTCACTACATAGAGCATTATTTGAAATTATAGTATGTGACCAGTTGAACACTGTATCTCTTTCCTGAGACTGTAAATGCTAGGAGGGCAAGGATAGTGTGGAGGCTTTTCATAATTTCATATCCAGGGCCCGTCACTATATTTTACACAAAGTAAGCTAAACAAATATTTGTTGAATAAATAATTATACTGATCAGGTGGCAGAACTAAACTCTCTAGCAGATAACTGAGAAAAGAAAGGATTTTAAATATTCCCTGAAGGATGGAGAGATAAGCAGAAAATATCTATTTACCGATTAAGTAAATGTGTTTGTGTGGACTATAGGTGTCCCTGGATTCACAGAAGAGAATAAAATTTGACTCTATGGCATTTAATCTGAACTTCTGTCTGCCATTGATGAACTTACTGATGAATGATTAGAAGAAATTTAGACATAACATTTTACTAGTATATTAATCTAATATTCCAGAATATAATGTTTAACATATCTAGGTTGCCAGTATAAAAATTAATCACATTACCTATATGTTTTTTAAAATAAAACCTATTCTAATTTGTATTAAAGTTACTTATCTTCCTCAAAACTTGGAAACTCCTTAGGGACCAGATTCCATTTTTTTAAAGTTTATTTTATAGCACCTTCTAGAGAGTAAAAACACAAGAACTATTAGTGAATAAATAAGTTAGAATTCAGCATGAGTTTGATCATTGCATGGCAAAAGAACAAAGAACAAATGAGAAGCTGTTTTTGATGACTCAGAAGGTTCTTCAGTATACTACAACCCTCTTCCTGAGTATGAGGCATTGCTGCTCCATACATGTGCAGGAGGGCCAGTTAAAACAGAGAAAGACGAGTGGCTACTCAAATGGTAGCTACACCAGAGCTCTCTACTAAGTCAATATATAAGGGGGCCTCTTTTTGAATAGCAGTTTGAATTTCACAACATAACGTTAAGTGAAGGCAATCAGACAAAACAAAAGAGTACATACTGAATGATTCCATTTCTATAGTTAAAAAACAGGCAACGATCTATGATCTATGCTGCTTAGCGTCAGGAGAGCGGTTACCTAGGGATGGGGGTAAAGCGTAATAACTGGAAGGGTGTATGGAGAAGGGGTTCCTAATGAGCCTTTACT